ATAGTGGCTATTTCTTTTCTTCCATTGTCGGCTTGTGCTTTGGCCGCGATTTGGATTGCCTGAACGTCGCAGTCAAAAGCGCGCTTCAAATCACTTTGAAGAGAAAGGACACCGTTAGGTCCCGGCATCTTAAGCAGTAGGTACGGATAATGTGGTATTGCCATGAATTTTGCTAGCGCTGGGCGTTCGAGGATTGCATGGTATGATGAATCGAAGTCTGCAACCTCAAACTTGATGAACTTTGTATGGTAGTTCGAAGGAGTTCCAAAAGTAACGAGTAGAGTAATTTGTCCAAGTGGCATGGCTGCCTTGCCGGGTACTATACCATAAAAAGGTGTACTTGTTGGTGTAATCATCCCGGCGAGTTGCAGTCCCATCTTCCTTAGCGTTTCTGAAAAAATGATGTTGAGTCCGGCTCCCCCGTCGATTAGTACTTTGGTGACAGTCATACCGGCAATAGTTGGATCTAGAACCAGTAGGTAATGGCCTACGTTTCCCACGCTAGTCCATTGGTCTTCTCTAGAAAATTGGATTGGATACTGTGACCAATTGAGATATCTTGGAATAGCCGGTTCTGCTGTCATGATAGTCCGTAGTGCTAATTTTTCTTGATGTTTGCTTCTGCAATCTGGGGCCCCGGAGAAGATCACTGCTACCATCCCCCTGGATTTTTGGAATCCTTTGTCTTCGTGGTTGTCTTCATCTTTTTTCTGATTGTCTTCTTTGGTGTTCTCCTTACTATCTTTTCTTGTGTATCGATCATTGAAGGTGTAGCAATTTCCGATGGTGTGCCTCCCATTAGGGTGTAATGGGCAACATATGTTTTCGATGTCGTCATATCTTCTGGGTTTGGAAAACTTCTTTGATTTGTCAGCCATTGCCACGGTGTTGTCTGGTCTACGTTTTCTTTCCTGATGTCTGCTATTTCGATGATTTTGCTTGTCTGGGTTGTCTCGGTTGCTTCTATCTGGGAACCTCTCTCGTGTCTTCTCTTCTGCAGTAATCATCTTTTCTACTGTTCGTCTGAATTCTTCGTTGTTTCTTGGATTTTCTTTGCAGAAGTCTTGAAATTGCCACCTAGCCATGATTCCGTGAGAGAAAGCTTCAATTACTTCTCATTCGGTGATGTCATGCACTTGAGCCCGTAGTTCGCCGAATCGTCGATAGTAATCTCTGAGACTCTCACCTCCCTTCTGCTTGAGTCCTTTTAATTCTGCGTGAGTGATCGGGTGTGTAATGATCCCTGCAAAATTTTCACAAAAATCTCTTTGCATGTCCTCCCAATTTCTGATTGATCCTGGATTTAATTTGTCGAACCATTGGAGAGGCATGGTTTCCAGGGCCATGGGAAAGAACAGGGTATTGATGTCGTCGTCTCCTCCAGCTAGTTCAATTGATTGTGAATATATCCTGAGCCATTGCCTTGGTTCAGTTTTGCCATCATACTTAGAGTGGTTGGACGGTTTGAACTTGTGAGGTAGTCGTATTGACGCAAGTATGTTTGCAAAACAGGGGAATCTATCGTGCGTTCCGGCTTGTTTGAATTTCGATTCGGCACCTTCTTCTGGCCAACTGTTGTTTTGATGAGAGTAATTCTGCGAGGCCGTCTGGGCAGGCGCCCTACTCCTGGTCTTTCTTGGTTGTTCAACTCGGTGGCCTTGACTATGGTCCCTCCTACTTTCTCTGTTATGACTTCCACTCGGTCCAAGTCTCTCGAAAGCGGACTTCCTTTGATTTTGATCTTCTTGCCTATGGGTTGTTGATCTGGTGGGTAGTCTTGATTGGGTTCTTTCTTCATGCGTCCTCGGGGCCGTTGACCGGAGCAAGTCCCGAAGCTGTTCATACTTTTCACCGGGATGTGAGGTCGCTCTGAGTTCTTCTAATGCTTCTCAGATCTTATCGTAGGGCGTACTTGCCGTGCGTCTTTCTTCGACTTCTCGTTGTGATTTTCTTCTGTCGTACTCGGCCAACTTTGACTCATATCTGATCCAGGCTTCCTTGCGCTGCCTAGCACGGTGTTGGCGTCCTTGCTTCAACTTGTTTTTTCTTTCTCTAGCTTGTTTCTGATTCTCGGTTTCACCATCGTAGCCCTAGGCAAAGGGTGATATGTTGGATTCTGATTCATCCGATGACCTAACATCGGGTGCTTCTGGGGGGACCAATGGTGACCGAGGACGGCGAACCATGAGTACTTCCCGTGCGTGAACTGTTCTGTTATTGGCGTTAGTTTCCACACTGTCGGAGTTGCTGATAACTTTAGTAGAGGCCTCGAGGTCACAAATCGAGTCTCCTTCTTGGTAAGGTAGAATAGCTGTCGTCGTCGTGTCGTCCAGTCAGGTACTGCTATCCTCAGGAACAGAGCCCGGCTAGTGGACGATGCAGTCTTGAGATGTTATAGTCAGTACGAGACCTTCCTGAGCTCCCTTCAGTGGCATTCTAAGCACTGGGTCCAGGAATCCTTCGGACCGTGCCTGATTAGATGTTGCCATGTTGTGGAATCCGAGCGGAAAAGGATCCGACTTCTTGAAAAGATTCTGCGTGTACTCCGAGTTGTATTCTTGATAGGTCAGGGCCATGTTCTTAAGCCCCTATCCGAGTTCTTTCGGGAAACCGAGTTCTTTTCCGATGGGGATTAAGAACATGGCCCTGACCTATCAAGAATACAACTCGGAGTACACGCAGAATCGGATGCGCAAAGCCGTGAAACCTGAGTTGAATCGGACATCATGAGTTGCGCGAATCTTCTAGAGATTTGGTCCGTCGTAGTCGCCGGAATAGAATAGTCTTCATGGTGTTTCGAATCTTCGAGGAGACGGCTTTGGAGCTTGCCATTGTTGTCCGCTTCGCAGATCCACGAGCCGAAGATGAAAGTTGATCCCGTCGAGAAGATCATGTTTTTGAGGTCCATCGAGCTCTCGGATGGAAATTCGCCGAAGGCCCCTACCTGGCGCGCTAGCTGTCGATGTTTGACCACCGATAGCCTGCCACGGGGGTCCCCGGGGCAGTATTGTTCGGGCTTCAGCGTATGCGGAACTCGACGGTGAACGCAAGAGACAGTCGATTTATCCTGGTTCAGGCCCTCGATTGTGGTCGAGTAATAGCCCTACGTCCAGTCGACGTTAACCTTTGCGTTGGATTGATGGTGTTGTAGAAATCGTGATCTCCCATCTCTAGGAACCCTACCTCCTTTATATAGTCAGGAGGTCAGAATCCTAGTCAGTTTACAATGAGAGTTCTTAGTAGGATTACAGGATAATACTACTACTAAGATTACATGGGGAGAATCCTGGTAGACTAGATCTTCTCTCCTCCTTGTGGGGTATCCTGTGGGTCCCTCACCGACAGGTTCTTGAATGTCTTCCACTTTGTTCGCCCAACAGATTGCAAGAATTGGACCTAGAATCAAATAATATCAGTGGCATACTACCAAATGAGATGTGGCCATTGACCAGCTTGGAAAGCCTTGACCTCTATGGCAACAATATTAGTGGAATACTACCAAACTGGATGGGGCAATTAACCAGCTTGAATTTTCTTGACCTGTGTCAGATAGTATCAGTGGAGTAATACCAAACTGCATGGGGCAATTAACTAGTTTAGGTTACCTTGATCTGTCACAGAATAATATCAGTGGAATGATGCCAGATTTGATGCGGACGTTGATGGGCCTAGTGTATCTTGCCCTCACCTATAATAACATTACTGGACCTCTACCATCATTTGTTGGTTTGTGGAACGAGGTGGTCCATCTTCTCACTCATCACTTTTTGTATTTGGTTTGTGGAATAGAATGAGTTGATCCATCATCATCTCATTCTTCACAGGCTAATAATTTATATATGCATGAGAATGGGTTGATTCCACCAAACTCATGGGATGAACTCATGATGCATCACCTCATGAAGCATGGGGTGACTCCACAACCAAACACACCATAAGTGAGCCCAACCACGTGCGCATCTGGGGGTGTCCCTATTATATCCAGAGGTAGCAAACTCGCCCGCCATTTGTACAGACGGTTGTGCCAGCAGTGGCACGACAGAGGCGGCTCTGTGACGGTGCTCGGGCAGTCGAGTGGCCCGGGAAAAGGGAGCTCCGGACGTGTGTGGTCATGGGAGGGAGGGAGAGGTGGTCGGCTATAGTGGAGAATACACAGCGGCCGGGCTATCGTGGACAAGGAACAAGTGAGCGGGATAGCAGGCCGCAGGAGCGTGCGGCTGTGCGAGGAGAAGGCGAGCGGGCATGTGGGTGCTGCCGTGCGGGTAGGACTGTAGAAGGTGAACGGGATGGAGCGAGTGGGCTGGCGGTTGGGCCTGAATTGAATGGGCCAGACCAAAAGAATGGGGAGAAAGTTTGGCTCTTTAATATTAGGTATAGATTAACATGACAAGGCCCCAACGGTTTCGAAGTATGTATCTGTTTCTTATTACTAGACTAGAATGATGGTTGTGATGAAGCTCCTATGCTAGGGAGAATAAATAACACGAAGTCATAATCATTTTGTGTCTGTACTAGATGATTGTATTTGAGAGATGTGCAACAAATAAATAAATTTACTTCCAATATTTGCGTACACAAAGGAAAGTTAAATTATGAGAATTATGATGACTAACCATACGAAGTGGCTGGTGAGATCTCTTGGCGTGCAGATGAGTTGGTTTTGGTGGGGTTTCTATTATTATATAGAATGCAAACATACACATGTATAGGCACATCACTAATAGCAACGGCTGTGATGAATGGAGCTGGACTGCAACTCCATCAGATAGTGGACGGCTTGTGGTAGTTTATTCTGGTGGTCTAGCTATTTTGCTTTTATAAAACTTAAAAGCCTGTAAGACTTGACGACTTCTGGTAGTTCACTGTGGTGGTCGTCTTTGCTTTTAATTTAAAAGCCAATAGTGGACGACGACGACTTGGCCGGAGTCTGGATCGTCTTATAATCCCCACAATGCGTGGTACCATCACCCCCACACAGACAGAGGCTACCAACAAGACCCATGGCCATGTATACTCCTGCCAGCTTGTTGCTTATCCTTGTAGTTGTAGCAGCGGAACTCCATAGTCCTACGTTTGCCTCCCATGTGGCTTCTAGCTCCTGCATACCGCACGAGAGGGAGGCCCTGCTGGCCTTCAAGAGAGGCATCACCAGGGATCCTTGGGGCTTCCTCGTGTCGTGGCAACGAGGCGGCGAAGACTGCTGTAAGTGGAACGGTGTCGTGTGCAGCAACCACACCGGCCATGTCCTCAAGCTTCAACTTGGCACCTATTCACTGGTTGGCCAGATAAGTCACTCTTTGCTTTCACTGGAGCATCTAGAGCACCTCGATCTGAGCGGGAATAGTCTCAATGGCTCATCCGGTGGTCGTATTCCAGAGTTTTTGGGCTCTATGAACAGCCTAAAGCATCTGGACCTGTCTAGTATACCATTTTCTGGTAGAGTGCCTTCTCAGCTCGGCAACTTGTCAAACCTGCAATATCTTGACCTTTCTTCGTCAACACAAAACAGTTTGCTTCGGTCAACAGATCTGTCATGGCTAACACACCTGCAATTCCTTCAGTATCTTAACCTCTGTGCAGTAAATCTCGGCGCAGTTCGTGACTGGGCTCTTGCAGTGAACATGCTTCCTTCTCTCAAGGTCCTTGAATTCTCTAGGTGTTCACTTACAAATGCAAACCAATCTCTCCCACGCCTTAATCTTACAAACCTTGAGGTGCTCGATCTCTCTGGCAACTTACTTGACCATCCAATTGCATCATGTTGGTTTTGGAACATAACACATCTCAAGCACCTAAATCTTGAATCCACAGATTTGTATGGTCCACTTCCCCTTGCACTAGGAGGCATACTACCAAACGAGATGGGGCAATTGACCAGCTTGAATTTTCTTGACCTGGGTCAGAATAGTATCAGTGGAGTAATACCAAACTGCATGGGGCAATTAACTAGTTTAGCTTATCTTGATCTGTCACAGAATAATATCAGTGGAATGATGCCAGATTCAATGCGGACGTTGACGGGCCTAGTGTATCTTGACCTCACCTATAATAACATTACTGGACCTCTACCATCATTTGTTGGGCTGTTTACCAGCTTAAGTTACATTGACCTGTCGTACAACCACCTGACTGGACACGTGCCACGTGAGATTGGCATGATCGGAAATTTGGAAAATCTAGACCTAACTAGTAACAATCTGGATGGCACCATCACAGAGGAACACTTTGCTAGTCTGAAGAGCCTACGGTGGTTAGGCTTGTCTTATAATTTCTTGAAGATTGAGATCAGTTCGCAATGGCACCCTCCCTTCAGATTGCAAGGAGGATATTTTGTATCTTGTCTGATGGGGCCTGTGTTTCCTTCTTGGCTTAAATGGATGGTGGATACTACCTCCATCCTAAATTGTAAGACGTTTGACTTTTTTGGTCCCAAGTTTGACCACTCGTCTTATTCAAAAAATTTATGCAAATATAGTCAAATTTAAGTCATTCTTGAAGAATTTTTATTAATAAACCAAACCACGTTGAAAGAAGTGATATTTTATACAAATTTTTGAATAAGACGAGTGGTCAAACTTGGTGTTAAAAAAGTCAAACGTCTTACAATTTGGGATGGATTGAGTATTAATCAGCTTGATATTTCCAACACAGGTATAAATGACCGTCTTCCAGACTGGTTTTGCAGTACCTTTTCAAAGGCCATGTATTTGAACATCTCCAACAATCAAATCCACGGAGGGTTGCCAGAAAACATGGAACGCATGTCGGTACAACAACTCTATCTTGGTTCAAACCAATTAACTGGTGCAATACCTCCCATGCCGATTAGCCTGACCACGTTGGACTTGTCAGGAAACCTTTTATCAGGACCTTTGCAGTAAATCATGAAGCTCCATATACCAGTGATTATGCTACCTATTTTTCTAGTTTACAGCATTGCTTGTTTTCCATCAAATGCATTTGGAATGTTTAGATTGTATGCCTTCGATTAGTTTACACCATTGCTTGTTTTGCAATGATTTAGAGCCACTACTACAGAAGTTAACTGTAGAGGAGGCTCTAGAGCCTCTGTAGGGGCGGCTGCGCCAGCCGCCCTTCCTAGGGTGTTCCTACAGAGGGTGCCTCTATAGGGGCGGTTTCCTGACCGCCCCTGCAGTGCCCTCTGTAGGGGCGGCTGGTGTTTTCAGCCGCCCCTACAGTGCCCTCTGTAGGGGTGGCCAATAATATCAGCCGCCCCTGTAGTGGACTTCTATAAGGGCGGCTGTAACACCAACCGCCCCTGCTGTGTGTATTTGTAAGAGCGGTTCAATCAAGAACCGCCTCTACAGTGGATTTTCCAGCAAAAAAAATAATTCAAATTCAAATCTGACCACATATATATATAATTCAAATTTGAATCTGACCGCCACAAATATACATATATACATCCACAAACACAAAACCATTATTTAGAACATCATCACAAGTCATAATTCACAAAAGTCCATCATTACAACATAATCCATTATGAAGTCTATCATTATAACATAGTCCATTAAGAAATCCACAAGTCCACATGCAAACATTGTGTCACATAAGCTACATATTTGTCATGTAGCTCGATGATTTTCAACACGAAGACCTAAAAAACAAGAATAAATGTAAGCTAACATAACACACAACAAAAGCAGAGTGCGATCAAGATACACACATGTTCCTGCATGCCAACCATATCCTTCTTCTCTGGCTGTAAAAGCAATGAATTGTAAAAATAATAATTTAGGGAAGATAAATCAGAAAATTAATCAAATCAAATATAGCAAGAAGAATCAAACAGCTAGGTGGCAGAATATCAAGCATACAAAAGTGGTAATGTAAATAAAAGGACTGGGAAATGGGAACTACTTAGCAACCTGACAATAGAGGTTAGATGAAGGTTGTTACAAACTATTAATGTGGAGGTTTTGCTGTTTATATATATGAATCAAAAAGTGCATAATGGTAACATAAATAATTTAACAGCTAAAGAAACACTGCACCTTCTTATTACTAGCAGAATCTTCTGCTTGCTTTACCAAGGCTGTGCCTTCATTTGTAACATGCTGCGGACAAATATAACTCAATCAGAACTGAATATCATGGTTCAAAGGAATAAAATGAGTGAGCTAAAAAAGAAAAGAGGCACCCTGCAAGGGAAATTATTACCGTTTTGAACATGTTAGATATAGGCTCCAGACCGCGGGTGATTTTGGAGAAGAGCCTGTACATCCTAGAAAGATCCTCAACCTGCAGTAATAGAGGGATGCAGTGAATATTCAATAATGTTAGGAAGTCATTCATTAGATAATAATAATAATAATAATAATAATAATAATAATAATAATAATAATAATAATAATAATAATAATAATAATAATAATAAGGTTTTCAATCCAACCTTATCATCACGAAGCAAAGCAGAACATCCAGAATGCTCCTTCTCCAACAGCGGGGTTGCATACTGAGCAAGCAATTCATTTTGCACTTTCTGTCGAAATTCAAGATTATAACAATGTAAGGGTCATACAGGAAAATATATCAAGCACTATTCCTGCCATAGATAGCATCGGTTAGTGTCTAATTCATGTCCATTAAAAGGTGCTACAAGAATACAAAAAGGTACTCTCTACATGATCTATAAGAAATGAGTTGCAGTGTACAAAGAATGGGCACAGAATTGTTTGTGAGGTAGCTGGGCCAATTGTTCCACCAAATCAAGATGCTTATTACAATTAAACTAAAGAGATTTAACTTATCCTGTAGAAAAAAGATATGGACGAAAGGGGAAAAGAAAGCTACCACTGCAATATTTACAGCATAAAGAAAGTTTTGATTACTCCATTTACAAATTACAATCAAACACATCAGCACAATTCTATATATATTATTATAATAGTTGACCATCTATGATAAACAACTCTCATTTTCCCCTAAAAAAAGTCAAAATACAGAATGAATGAAACACTCCTGGTTTGCTGTCTACCCTTGAGTGAAATTACAATCAAACAGAAACTACAAGTTCCAACAAACAGCAAATGAAAACAGCCACAGTGATATCACAAGACATCTAATGAATCTACTAGAGCCAACAGAACACCAGGCCCAAGTGTACAAGTAAATTGGCACAGAATTGTTACAAAGGCACATAAAGTAGCTGGACCAATTGTTTCACCTAATCAAGATGATTACAATCATTTTAAAGATATTTTATTATCCTGTACAAATCAAGAGATGGACAAAAGGAGGGGAAGAGAGCGCTACCACTACAATATTTGCAGCATAAAAAAGTTTTGGTTAGTTCATTTACAAAGTACAATCAAACAGATCAGGCCAATTCTATATAGTATAAGGGTTCGACCATCTATGACAAACAACTCTCATTTTTTCCCGTAAAAGAATGTCCATCTACAGAGTGAATGAACACGACTAGTCATCGGCAAGCATTGTATTATTTAGAAGAAAACCAAAAGGAAAGCGAGAACATCCCCATAAACACCAAGGCCGTTCTCGTCCCAACCTATCAACCAACCAAGCGCTAATCCACCAAAGCTAAAAACCATCCAAAGCGCCTTATTTCCCTCGGGGTAGGAAATCTAACCCCAATACCACGCCCGCAGATACAAAACAATCTAGGTTGAAGACAGACATTCACATGAGCAAGAGGGATATGAACAGGCGGCTCACCATGGAGGTGATGTACTCCTCGAGCGACTCCCGATACTTGTCGTAAAGTCTGCTGCAGTAGTCGTGTGGTGGCTTGCGTGCACATGTTGTATATCGTCCTGCGACAAAGGAACCAAAACCCTAGATCGAACCGGATCGAAGCGGATCGAGTTGGGAAACCCTAGCGCCGCCGCCAAGGCGACGGCGGCGAGGAGGAGGAGGAGGAGGAGGAGGAGGAGGAGAGAGGAGACGACGTGTAAAGCATCATGCAGTCCTCGGAGCTGAACTGCGGCTCGGCTTGCCCTCGAGGATGTTCTTGACTTGGTGATGCCCTTCGCATGACCGCCCATCCCTCCTCCGGATCGATTGTCCCACGCGCTCCTGCCCGCCATCGCCAAGAAAGTGAGGTTGCTGACTGAGACTGGCGCTGAGAGAAGCAAACCTTGGCGGCCTTGCCCTGGGGGTTTGGTGGTGCGCTGGGAGGATGGCGAGGGTCCTCGAGAGGCGAGCGCGAGAGGTGGAACGGGGAGGAGGAGAGAGGCGAGCACGTGGGCGTAAGGGAGAGGGTCGGGCTGGGGTTCTATTGTATACTGGCCTTGGTGCCATGGGTGACCGCCGCCTTCCAGCGGCCCCCTCCTCGTTGGGGAGATCCCGTGTGATTCAGACTCCGTCCCCGTCGTCCGATCGCGAGGTGGACGGCCCAGATGATGAGCCTTGCGCTAGATGTTGATCATTGTATGAAATCAAATCAAACTACTAAAATAATTTTGAGACATCAAATGATTTCAAATGAAAATTTGATAAACATCAAAGTTGTAGAGGTCATGAAGATCTACAACTTTTATTTTGGTCATCTTGTCATTTGACAAAATTTGAACCTTTCAAATTTGAAATTTTAAAAAATAATAAGTTCGAACCAAAATTTGAGACCCAAAATGATTTCAACATAAAAAGTGATGAATACCAAAGTTGTTCAACTCATTAATATCTAAAACTTTTATTTTAGTCATCTTATCATTTGACACAATTTGAACCTTTCAAATTTAAAATTTTGAAAAACGACAAGTTCGAACCAAAATTTGAGACCCAAATTGATTTCAACATAAAAAGTGATGAATACAAAAGTTGTTCAACTCATGAATATATGCAACTTTTATTTTGGTCATTTCTTCATTTGACAAATTCTTAGCACACATTGTTCACTAATCTTACACATGTCTCATATAGTTTATAAAACCTTATGAGAAATGTGTCACATTTGTGAACAATGTCATTATCACTTTGTCATATGAAGAAATGACCAATACAAAAGTTGTAGATCTTGATGAGTTATTCAACTTTGGTATTTATCACTTTTTCAACTGAAATCATTTGGGGTACCAAAATCTTGTCTGAAGTTGCATTTTTTTGAAATTCAAAATTTAAATTGCTCAAACTTTTCATATGTATATATTGACAAAACCAACAAAATAAATTGATAGAGAATGATTTTAGAAACTTTTAGGAAAAAAATCATCAGATTTGGAGTTAGTATGAGGAAGAAAAACTAGTTACAAAGTTGACCCACAGATTAAAAAAAATCACACTGTTCACTATGATCATGTAAGGATCATCTAGAACAGTGTGATTTCTCTTTTTAATCTGTGGGTAAACTTTGTAACTAGTTGTTCTCCCTCATGCTAACTCCAACTGTGATGGTTTTTTCCTAAAAATTTCGAAAATCAAGCTTCAGCATTTAATATTGATCAAACTTGGATGTGATAATGTTTTACGCATTTTAAAATTTGAAATTTGAAATTTGACAAGTTCAAACCAAATTTTCAAACCCTAAATGATTTCAGATGTAAAAGTGATAAATACAAAAGTTGTTCAACTCATCAAGATCTACAACTTTTATTTTGATCATCTTATCATTTGACAAAATTTGAACATTTCAAATTTGAAATTTTAAAAAATGACAAGTTCGCACCAAAATTCGAGACATAAAATGATTTAAACATAAAAAGTGATGAATACCAAAGTTGTTCAACTCATTAATATCTACAAATTTTATTTTAGTCATCTTGCTATTTGACAAATTTTGAACCTTTCAAATTTGAAATTTTGAAAAACGACAAGTTCGAACCAAAATTTGAGACCCAAATTGATTTCAACATAAAAAGTGATGAATACCAAAGTTGTTCAACTCATGAATATCTGC